AAAATGCAAAAGTTGAAAATGTAAAAGTTGAAAATGCAAAAGTTGAAAATGTAAAAGTTGAAAATGTAAAAGTTGAAAATGCAAAAGTTGAAAATGCAAAAGTTGAAAATATAAAAGTTGAAAATATAAAAGTTGGAAATGTAAAAGTTGAAAATGTAAAAGTTGAAAATGCTAAAGTTGGAAGCGCCAGAACCACGGGGGCAGCTGCCTGAGCAGGGAATGGGGGGGGGGGGCATTTTGCATTTTTTACAAGAACTACAATCGTAAATTCGTGCGTTATTCAAATGAATAGAGATCGAGAACTGTTTTCGCTAAGCCCAAGTTAGCTAAAATTTAAATCCAAAATTCTTCTCAGAAACGTTAAAGAGGTTTACAACTTTATCAAAATAATTGTCAAAACGAAAGCCTACTTAAGTGTTAACGAAAGCCTACTTTACCGGCATGGTGCGCATGCAAATCAGTATAAATGTTCCAATCAATTTCGAAATTTCTGTAACCATATTGCTACCAGTAATCAAGTATCTGTTAAGCAAAATTTATAACAAACATTGCCGCGCACAGTAAGGCCCAGAAATAAATCAATGGCCGCATACAGTATGTTGCTAAGCTTCAACTGTTTTTATAATGAAATATTCCCATTCTTATTTTTGTGTCTGTCATTCCCACTCTACGGTGGCCCAGAAGTGTCACAACACAATTCAAAAAACACCCCCCAAAGTCCACAACACATTTCCAAACTGGAAACACAATTCAATAATTGCTAAAACCACATTTCAATGTTCACAACACATTTCCAAACTGGAAACACAATTCGATAATTGTTCAAAACACATTTCAATATTCACAACACATTTGCAAACTAGAAACACAATTCAATAATTGTTCAAAACACATTTCAATATTCACAAGACATTTCACACTTGAAAACAAAACTATTGAAAACACATTCCAATATAATCACAACAAAAATCGAAATCGAAAAAAACATTTCAAAATACTAGCATGGAAACATCAGCGATCAATACATCAGTACAGTGAGTACACCGTATTTCCTTTCGGTCTAAAATTAGATGTCTTTTCTTTCCTCTTTGTCGCTTGAAATGCTTCAAATGTTGGCGTTGAACCTGTGCCTTTGGACTTTAATTTGCCATCGCTAGCCGAAGACTGTGGCTTTGGAATTGCCTTTGACGAGCAACCAGTATCACCAGGCGATGGATTGCCGCATTTATAACAAAACTTATGATTTTCGGAGATTATTACAGGCCGTGGGCCGTTGGCCAAAATTATTTCACTTCGTTGCAACCCCTTGGGAAATAGATTTTCTGTGATTCAATGCATAGTACCATGGATACTCGACTACCACAAAAAGTTCCCAAGCAAAAAACTTGCCAAACACCGAGAAAATGTGTCATCAGTGATTATCCCCTATTAGTATAATTACATAGGTGATTATTGAAAATTCTCCACGCTGATTGGTTGGCGTTGAGGTGATTATTACGCGATAATCACCTAAGCGATTTTCAAAATGGCGGCCGAAGCCGTTTTGTCAATTAAATGATGAAAAAATGTGTATTTTTTATTTTTTTCTAAATAATCACCTATGAAATTATACTAAAACAATTATTCACCTCAGGCTCGGTGATTATCGTGAATAAAAACCTCGACTTCGTCTCGGTTTTTATTCACCGATAATCACCTCGCCTTCGGCGAATAATTGTTAATTAAATTGTATTACAGCAAGAAAATGTGAAATTTTGTATTCAATTACAACAAAAATGACTTGCATCATCAGAACGCTTACAAAAAACCGAATATAAGACATTCAAACAGTTTTTTGATCCTTCAAATAGTCTTTGAGCTATTGCTGTTTTAAATGTGAAAATTGGACCAAAATGTCGCAATAATGACTGGGTACTAGGTCAAAAACGCGTTTTGACAGCGTATAACTTAAAAACAATTTGCGATATAAAAAAACTGTTTAAATGTCTTATGTTCATTTTTTTTGTAAGCTTTCTGATGATGCAAGTCATTTTTGTTGTAATTGAATACAAAATTTCACATATTTTTGCTGTAATACCCATTTTCTCGGTGTTTGGCAAGTTTTTTGCTTGGGAACTTTTTGTCGTAATGGACCATTTGCATTATAGACTAAATTTTGATCTAGACAAAAATTTTATCACAGCTTGAAAGAGCATCACAAAATTAGTAATATTCCAAAGTTTCGTTGCGAAATGTTGTAAAATGCGGATAATATAGCCTTGCAAAATTTGCAATTTTCAGTCATTTTGTATTACAAATGGGAAATTGATGCCCCAACACCCGATTGGGCTGTCAATTTCCCGTGCGTAATACAAAATGACTGAAAAACGGCAAACTTCGCATGGCTATATTATCCGCATTTTACGGCAATATTTCTGTGATTTCAATATTTTTGTGATGCTCTTTCAAGCTGTGATAAAATTTTTTTCTAGATCAAAATTTAGTCTATAATGCAAATGGTCCATTGAGCATCTATGGTACTATGCATTGAACCACAGAAAATCTATTTCCCAGGGGGTTGCCACGAAATTGCTTTTCTAAGCACTTTGTCGCACAACGGCCCACAGACTATATTGAGTAAATAGGGGCCGGATTAGGAGGCTTTTTTGCAGGCTTTACAATGGTTGTTCTGCGCATGCGTAGCCAAACCTTCCCGACCAGTAACGGCGTTCGTCGATGTTTCCATGTGTTGCCAGTATTTTGAAATGTTTCTTTGATTTCGATTTTTGTTGTGTGATATTGGAATGTGTTTTCAATAGTTTTGTTTTCAAGTGTGAAATGTGTTGTGAATATTGAAATGTGTTTTGAACAATTATTGAATTGTGTTTCTAGTTTGGCAAATGTGTTGTAAATATTGAAATGTGTTTTGAACAATTATCGAATTGTGTTTCAAGTTTGCAAATGTGTTGTGAACATTGAAATGTGTTTTTAGCAATTATTGAATTGTGTTTCCAGTTTGGAAATGTGTTGTGGACTTTGGGGGGTGTTTTTTAATTTGAAATGTGTTGTGACACTTCTGGGCCACCGTACCACTCCCATTAACCCAAACATATGCAAATCTTATATCTTAGCCCATTCAGGGCCTCTGAGAAAGTCTTTTTACTTTGTTGTATTTCGAGAGTACGTGCAGTGTCTACATAGCCTGCACAAGTTTTCTCTCGTTTCCATAGGTTCTTCAATTGAATGATAATCGGGAAGAGAGCTAAATCCAACGACTCCTTTCCGTCAAGAGGGAAAAGGGCACTTTTTAATTGATATGTATTCAGGAAGGTTGTGAAACATTTGTAG